GAAGAATTGGAGAGCATCTCTATTAGTCACTTTTCTGATTGCTGTGGTAAGATGCCTGACACAAAACAGCTTAGGGATGGAAGACTTTTGAGGACAGTTATCCACCATGGCAGGGGAGCCTTGGTGCAGGAGAGTCGGGCAGCTGGTCATGTTGTGCCCACATTCAGGAAGCAGAGAGAAGAGAACGCTAGTGCTCAGCCCCCCTTTTCATTATTCAGCTCAGGATCCGAGTCAGAGAAGGATGCCACTCACAGATAGTCGGGGTCTTTCCACCCCAACCCAACCCAGAAACGTCCTCACAGACATGTCTAGAAGAGTGTTTCCATGGTGATTCTAAACCACATCAAGTTGATGAGCAGGAATAACCATGATACCAATGGGGATGTGCTCTTGAAGTTCTTAGCCCAGTAAACAAGACCCAGGTCCTAGCGACTGCATGGGAGGTCTGGAGAGTCCCACTGAACCTCACTGTGACCATATGTGACACTCTGGTTCTCAGAATTCTTGGGTTCTGTCAAAGCCACTCTGAAGCTGTGGAAGCAGCTGTCCGCAGAATCTGGGGCTGCTGAGAATCAGAGGGAGACAGAGTCAGCTTCAGTTTGCAGTGGGGAGCTGTGGGGTGAGTTTGTGGAGACTGTGAATGGGGGAGCCGTGTTTATGAAAATAGTTTCATTTTGCCAGCTAACGAATCAACTCACATTCAGATTGGCCCAGAAGCAGGAGGGCTGCAGTTAAAAATCAGCTAATCTTTGATTTTTAGGTAAGGCAGATGGTGTTGTTAAGACAGGGAGCTGGTGTGGAGACTTGTCTCATTTGCAGATGCAAGAAGGGCCAAGCATGTGGGGGTCTCTTCCCTTGGCTTCTCTGTTTGTGCAGGAGGGGTGCAGGTGAAGCTTTCCCAGCATGGAGGAGACAGGCCACTCTTCTATCCTCATCTCTTTTTGAATCCTGTCAGGAGTGACAAGGGAGGCCACCTATGCAAACTGCAGGTGTGGTATGGTGCAGGGAGGACCGGCATGCACCCAGGTACTTGGCTTGGGAAGACATTGGCCTATTTCTATACTGCTTGGTAAACACTCATTGACATAAGCCTACCTTGCTATCCCCAGCTCATTATCTCCCTTGGGAACTTCACAGACTTTCCCAGGATCCAGAAGCTAAAACGCTAATTCCCGGCACAGTAGGTCATACAAAATGATTCTCTCTGTTGCATTGACTAAGCCTTAGCTGCAAGACTCAGAACTCGAAAAGACTGGTGGCAAAAAGAGTTTCAGCCCGTTTGTGAGACTCCATGGTGTGCTGGGAAAATGATGGACAGCCACCCTTTGCTTCTCTCCATTATGAAAGGACTGTGGAGATTTCCCAGGTCATCCACAAAGGGATTCTGCTTCAGCACCAGAGCCAGCTACACCGTTTTGGATGGGCTCTAAGCCATCACATAGTGATCCCTGCACGTGTGTCCCATCAAGTCAAACAGTCACGGAAGGACTACATTCCCGGCTCTCCATCAGGACAGCCAGCATTCCCAGCTATTTCTATCCTGTGCCTGACATCTCTCAAAGGCTCAGGTTGTGTCACTTGGACCTATTCACCTTGCTGTCTGCGAGCTGTGGCATTGTGCTATGGATTGACTCCTGAAATCTGTCTGAGCTCCAAGAAAGGAGTGCTGGTCTCCTTATAACCATTTAATCTGAAAACATAGGTGTGTCAGTGTTCCCTATTTCCACAAGCGATCAGAAATCAGGAGAGCAATTCAGTGAGACCCAGACCTGGCATCATCCAGGTTTAATGCAGATGATCCCTGAGCCCCACTTACCACAAGGGTGTGTGGTTAGTCCCATTGAGCCTTAGATAGGTAATAGCTTACCTCAGCACACATAGCTTCAAAGTTTCAAAGTCTTGTAGCTAAGCAACTAAATAAAACCCCTATCTGTTGATCATTACACGAATCACTGTTCTCAGGACTTCTGGAAGGTTCTGAGAAACCCCAATCGTGAACACATTGAAAAAGAGCAAAAGGCATGTGGAACTTGTGAGTTAAGCACAAATCTAAGCTGGAAGGGCCGTGGTGGCTCTCAGGTTGCCTTAGATGGGGTTCTTTAGAAGACTAGACCAATAAAGTACATATGTGTATTACAAAAGGGATCTGTTGGATTGGTTCATATGATAGGGTGATGGATAGGCCAACAGTGACAGTGTGTATGCTGGAGACACAGAGATCACTGCAGTTACTCAGTCTAAGGAGTCATCTGCCTCAACAGTTCTAATGCTAGAGTCTAAAGTCTGTGGGCAATGCCAGCTGCTGCTGGCATGCACAGGAGGAAAGGGGACTGGCACACATGCCCATACTGCCTTCTCCTTCTCCAGCCCATTGGATGGTGCCACCCTTGCTCAGGGTCAATATCTCCCTTTGCTCATTTGTTATCTTAGTTACTTTTCTATCGCTGTGATAAGACACCATGACCAAGGCAACTTACAGAAGGAAGAGTTGATCTAGGGCTTATGGTTTCTAAGGGTTAGAAACCATAGATCATCATGTTAGGGGGTGTGGCACCAGTCAGGCGGGCATGGCACTGGAACAGTAGCTGAGAGCTCACATCTTGATGCACAAGCATGGGGGAGGGAGGGAGAGAGGAGGAGAGAGAGAGTGGGAATGGCACAAACCTCAAAGCCAACCCCCAGTGACGTGTCTCCTCCAACAAGGAGGTCACATCTTCTAATCCTTGCCAAACAGTTTCACCAACTGGGGACCATGTATTCAGACAGATGAGCCTATGGGGGCCATTCTCAGTCCATCACACATGTCAGTCCCCACAAACACTCATGTAAGGTCCAGTTACTCTAAACACCTCTGAACCCAAGCCTGAGCTGACAGCCAAGGCCAACCAGCATGCATAGGAAACAAGTTAGTCCGCAAGAAGCCTGGAGGAGGCCCCTTGGTCCAATGCTCTCCCAGTTACCTTGCTGTCTGGTCTACAGAGTCTAGCGTCAGCTTCAGGCCCAGCACCAGTGTGTTCAAGCTCTCCAGCAGTAGCTTTCTGCTGACATTGTGTACATGTGGAAAGGAAGGTCAGCAAGCACAGATGTGATGGCCCTAGACCACTCAGTGTGCGTCTCAAGACTTCCAGTTTCCCCACTGCCTTTTTTCCTTTTGGATTTCATCTCTTCTGTTTAGAGTAAGTATAATTTTCCCCCATTACTTTGTTAAATCAGATTCCTCCTTTCTGGGTCATTTTTCTTTCCTCCTTTTAAAACTAACCATTATATTCCTTTGGTAATATATATATATATATATCTTAACCTGGAATAATACAGAGACCATCAGCATGGCCTCCCCCTAGGATGGCACACACAAATTCGTAAAGGGTTCCATTTATGTATCCACGTAAGAATCAATTAGAACACAAATCTAACTACCAGTTGAGTCAATAAATCGGTCCTCTGATTTATTTGCCAGCTCCACAAAAAATGCCTTTACATATTCGAAGTCATCTCTTTGGCCCTCCACGTTGGTGAGAAGCTGTCCCTGTGGCAGACCTTGGAGATTAGAGAATGAGCTGTAAGCATCATCATCCCCTCAGCTCTTGCATGTACCTCACTGCAGACATCCAGGAGTTCCTCTCCTGTCCACTTTAAACCCATCCATGGCAACGCTGGACCACTCCCGCTTATCTGTGCCGTGCAGAGACAGAGAGAAGCAAACCGTCCTCACCCTAGAAACAAATCTTCATTTTTCTCGAATTTCAATTATGAGTCTTTTCAATGCTTCTTTCAATGGGCAAGAACACAAAAGTGTCTTTTCAAAAACTTTCTTCTTGGTACTCATGGAAGGCATTCCTGGACGAACTGAATACCATCAACACACTCACGGGTTTGGAGGTTTACAAGGCAGTTGGCTTTTCGGAGAGGATCACCAGTCTGCCCACCATGGGCAAGAAAGAATTAAATGACACATAATGGCTTATGCTAGAAAGCAAAGAAAATGCTAAGTAGCTGCTGAAGGCATGCCTAAGGGATGATAGGAAAGGCTTGGAGGGTTGTATAGGCGTCTGCTCAGGCCACCCTGACAAAACACACAGACGGGATAGAGGAGGCCAAGGGATTTATTTAGTCACAGACATGGAGGCTGAAAATTCAAATAAGATGTCAGCAGAGTTGGTTTCTCTTGTGGCCCCTCTCTTCAGCTTGTAGATGGCTTCCTTTTAGTGTCCTCACATAGCCTTTCCTCCGTGAGTACACTGTCTCTTTTTATAATTGTTTATATAGGCAGTGGGAATTATTGGTGGGGGTAGGAATGGGAAGCACAGTGGAGTCCCTCAGGAGTTCAAGGCTACCTCTTTCCAAGGCACCACTCTTCGGAGTAAATGTGACATTACAAACATCCCAGAAATCCCAGAGCTGCTTTTCAGCTACCCTGTCCTTTGTTTGTTTGCTTATTTTGAGAAAAAATCTAATTGTTCATTCCAGGCTGACTCAGAAATCACCTGTCCTCCCAAGTGCTGAGGTTACAGGTGTGTCCACTGTGTCCACCTGTCCTCCCAAGGGCTGAGGTTACAGGTGTGTCCACTGTGTCCACCTGTCCTCCCAAGGGCTGAGGTTACAGGTGTGTCCACTGTGTCCACCTATCTTCCCAAGAGCTGAGGTTACAGGTGTGTCCACTGTGCCCACCTGTCCTCCCGAGTGATGAGGTTACAGGTGTGTCGACTGTGTCCTCCTGCCTCTTAAGTGCTGAGGTTACAGGTGTGTACCACTGTGTCCACTTAGACCTCCTGCCTTCATATGCATCCTTGGTAAAACTCACTTTGAGATGTGGAAACTCCATACAGGCCCCATGTGGAGCCCCAGTCACACGCTCCTTCTTCTATGGCTTGCTGTGGGTGGATGTGATGATGGGAACAGAGGCCACTGCACTCTGGGGCTTCCCAGAGGCACCCCACATACCTGCCAGAGCTTAGATTAGGAACAGCGTGAGATCAGACATGGAAGCAGCGGCTGGAAAAGGCTGTCTCCAAGGTCACGTGAGACAACCTGCACAAGCAGCGGAATGGATATACTGCTGAGCAGGCTGCTGTTTGCAGCTGTTGCGCTCCGGGCTCCTATAAGGAAGGGACCTGGCTGGTCTAAGGGCCTGCTGTCTTCCTCATCTCATAACAACGTCAGGGTTATTCGATAAGGTCCCAGGCATAGATGCACACTTAACCTGGATGACCTCTGAAAACACATTATCTTCGAATAAGTCGCATTAGGATGAGGGTTTCAATACGTGAATATGGGGCCACGGTGCGGCCCATGATAGGCCCTTGTTCTGTGTTGCTGCCCAAGGCCCGCTATGTGAGCAAAACCAGGTCAATAAAGCACTCTGGATGTCACAGTATGGAGAGCAAAGCAGGTGAGGGTTGGCATATATAATGACACACATAGCTGGCTTTGACTCCTCGTTGCCTCGGGGGCTGAATGTAAGCACATTCTGTTCAGACAGGTTGGCCCCCTGTCCACTTCTATTGTTTGACCTATTTCTCCTGTTAATTGTTTCATAGAGCAGACAGGACCGGAGGGCAGCCGAGTGTGACAATGCTTGGGAGGTCCTGCTCCTGCGAGGACATAGATTTCACCTTTAGGCTTCCTCCTGACCCCGAAGGAGAGGATCCTTGAAGCATTGGGTCATAGCCCGCAGTCTAAAGTGCAACCCATCCCCCACTAGGGCCAGAGCTGCCCCTGTGTCCCAACAGTTGAATTCTCAGTGCTTAGTGGCACCCCAACGCTGAATCCCCAAAGCTAGCTTGAAAGGATTCTCAGAGTTATAGTAAAGATAACACAGAAAATGGAGCCTGGGTGATAAATCAGAAGTATAGAATCTCTAAGACGTGCATCTTTTCCCCATCTTTCCTTTTTTTAAAATTATAAAACAAGCAGAGAAAATCTACAACAACAGAATAATTACTCACCCCCCCCTTTTTTTTTGCACTTCTGTCTGTTGTTCTCCATCCTCCTATCTGTATCTATCATTTCAACATAGGATACAGGGGATTCTGCTCTGCTTACTCTCCTTAACCTTGGTTGTACAAATTCTTGAGAAGTGGTACCCACGAAGCCGGGATGACTTTGTGACCACTCTGTAAGCAATACCACACAGCAAAGAGACGCTGTTTACGTTTCATGTGCAGACCAGAAAATGCCACCAAGTCTCAGCCTGTTCTTTGGGGGCCTTAGTTCCAGGGGATATGAGCACTGCACAGGAAGGCTGGCTGTACTGAGACTGCCTAGCCACAGAGTCTGCATGCCAGCAGAGTGCTGGACAGCCGGGCTCATAGCTGACAGCCAGCATCAAATCCTGACTGTAGGAGTGGGCCATCTCACACTGCCAGTCAACTCAGCTGGTATTTGCAGCCCCAGCTGACATCCTGCCTCTACTGCATGAATGACCTCAATGGAGAGAGGCTCAGCTGAGCCCTTTTCAAATTTCTGAAGCTCCAAATTACCAGCAAAATAAAATGGTTGTTTTAAGCCAGTACACTTGGAGAAAAATTTTCACATGGTGATAATAACCAAAGTGAATTTTGGTATCTGCAAATAAGGGGTTGCTATAATAAAAAATAAAAAAAATTAAAGCACATGGTGTCATCTTTGAGATCAGACTGCAGGCAAAAGCTGAGAGAGTTGAAATCTGATAGCAGTCGGGGTGGTTATCAGTGAGAGCTTCTGGGAAAGCCAGAGAAACATTACAAGAATTGTAGGCAAAGGAGATCTTTGTTATATAGTGGGAGAAACTTCAACAGAAGTATCAACTGCAGTATGGGAAGTAGAATGAACCCTGTGGTCCCCTAAAAGGAAGTATCCAGGCTGCGTGTGGAAGAGGCCAATAATAAAAGGAGAAAGGATGGGCCAGCGAGATGGTTGTGGGTGAAGACGCTTGCCTGCAAGTCTGATGGCCTAAATTTGATCCGTAGGATCCACATGGTCAAAGTAGAGAACTAACTCCTTTGAGTTGCCCTCTGACCTCCACATGCACAACATACAATGTGTACACACACACACACACACACACACACACACACACAGAGAAAACTAATAAAGTTGAAAAAATAGAAAAGAGCTGCAAATACAAAAGTAAAGAGGAAAAAGAAAAAGTTCTTTTGTTTTCAATTAAAACTTGTAAGAAGTATAAAGGTATTACTACAATGTTTTTGCTTTAATTTTGTGTATATACACATATATGTATATGTACACACACATATATGTAGCACGCGCACATGCATGCAGGTGCCCCACAGAGGCCAGAAGAGGGCATTAGTTCTCCTAGAGCTGGATTAAGAAGGGTAGGAAGAGCCAGGCAGTGGTGGCACATGCCTTTAATCCCAGCACTTGGAGGCAGAGCCAGGCGGATCTCTGTGAGTTCGAGGCCAGCCTGGACTACCAAGTGAATTCCAGGAAAGGCGCAAAGCTACACAGAGAAACCCTGTCTCGAAAAACCAAAAAAAAAAAAAAAAAAAAAAAAGAAGAAGGGTAGGAAGTACTCTTAAGGACTGAGCTGTCTCTCTAGCCCCACATAAGCATTTTTTGAAAAGGCCTTGCATTCCCTTGCCAGTCTTCCCTTTGGCCAGTGACGTTTACCCTCTTCTTTAGTTTCGGCCAGGCTTAGTGACACACTTGTGACGAGAAGAACATAATGCTACATAGCTTTCTAGATGAGATCAACAACAGCCACGATGGTCTTAGAGCAGCAGCCCTGCGAGCAACCAAATCTGGGTAAGTGACCAGCAGAAGCTGCCATGTCAGAGAGGCTGAAGGTAGGAGCTCTGGCCATGTCCTAGCTAAGCTTGCACTCGACAGCTGTCCAGCTGAAACGTCTGTGAGCCACCATGGACAGAGAGCCAGGTCAAGCCTCTGATGACTGCAGCATGGACAGAGAGCCAGGTCAAGCCTCTGATGACTGCAGCGTGGACAGAGAGCCAGGTCAAGCCTCTGATGACTGCAGCGTGGACAGAGAGCCAGGT